AATATATTCTAAAAATAGAAATAGAGGGCCTCCACAGCATGACTTCGTAAATGTGACATTAATTTAGACCGTCACAACGTACGTACGTGTGTACCTATACCCAGTGTTGTCATGGGACACGGACACGGAAAGCGGACAGTCCGGGACGTCCGCGGAAAATTTTTTTGTCCCGGACAATTAAATTGTAATAAGAGGTGCCTTGTTAGCCAATCAGATCGTTTGATAAACCCGTAAGATGCAACACCATCGCGGACATGGGACATTGTCCGGGACATGGGACGTTGTCCCGGACTGTCCGTGTCACTGTAATTTTAGCCGGACAACGTCCGTGTACAACACTGCCTATACCTATGTGTACAATACTAGTTCGTATATACCAATAGTATAATACAGTATAGGTATAGCGCACATCCCTACGGTCATTTTAACCCATCACGTACGTACGTACGTACGTGATCATACAATTAGTGTGGCTGAATTGCGGAATATCTATGGTAGTAAAGCATATAAAATTCAATTTTCAATATCTCTTGGACAAGTAAGCCCACACAAATAAAAATATATTTATTGAGTTTATTTTAATGTGCTCTTTAGGCCAACAATGCGCTTTTTTATTTTTATTGTCTGGAGCTTCGCAGAGAACTCAAAGTGTTACCAAAATTCTCGTTTTTGATGCTTTATTAATAAAATATTAAAAAAACGTAACTTTGAAGTTCCACGCAATGGCGACAGACAGGAATATAAAGATACGTTTTTTATACGTATCTTCATTATAAATTCATCGAAAACGAGAATTTTAGTACCAATTTGAGTCTGCAACGCTCCAGACAATGAAAATAATAATAAAAAAAGATCGTGTTGCTTTAAAAAGCACATTAAATAAACTCGAAAACATTTATTTGTGTAGACTTGTTGGTTCAAGAGTTATGGTAAATTGAATTTTATATGTTTTACTATTTACGACGCTATTGATAATTCATGTATTATTATAAATTCTAGGCAACAGATCGAAAAGACATTTAAGCAGTGATGTATTAGAAAGCGACCGGCTAATGCAGATACATCAAACACACTGATGTATGCTATACAGCTCTTTAATATTCAGGGTGGAATGCATCTAACAATTACATCACATGCGTGCCGTTCTTTTCGAAAAATTTGATTAATTATCATCACTATATCACCTGCACTATGTTTGTAATAGACTTGCATAGAACACTTCAATAATGCAGGTTGGCCATAAATACTAAGGATTCGCAAAAATTGCAAGATTCTCTGAGTGAGGGAGGATCCAGATGCGAAATAATTTACTTTTCAGGCTCTTGTTGAATCATACTCAACCCTATATATGCGCTGTATAATCGTTTTGATAAATATGTTATATTTATCTATAATAAAAAAAAATATAGAAGAAACTTGATGCAGTGAGTTTATAATAATTATGTTTTAGGAATGAGCAACCAAGTTGATTAAACCTATGAAAATCAATTCAGATTCAAAAGTTAGTAATATTTTCTTATATCTTTTTTGACTAACTTTAATAATAATTATATACTTATAAATAATAAAATATAAAATATAAAAATTATAATATTTACGGAGTCTTATTGGATATTATAAAATGTAATATTAAATTATTATTTAATTGAAATAAGATCATAACCAACTTATAAAAAGAGAACTATGTGGGTGTGTGAGAAATGTTGTAGAAAAAATGATTTATGCAGCAGGTGTTGCATTCAATGATTTCCATGTTTTATCAACCGCGAGAGTTTTACCCTTGAAATTTTTCGTAATGAAACTGCCAACGACTATGTTACCAATTGGTAGAAGCCCTGCGCCTTTATCCTAATTTTTGAAAAAATATCAACATTAGAATAAATGCATTAACAAAATAAAAATAAATGTAAACGACAACGTAAAGGAAAAAAGTCAATACCTTTCCAATGGGAACAAACATAACTTCAGCACCTGGGCTATATCCGACCAGTTTATTATTATTAATGAGTGCAATAATATTCTTATTTACGACATCAGCATGAAGGTTAGCACGATAGGCAAGTTTTGTTTCTTTAATATTTGTTACGTCCCCAAGAGCAAATATATGTGCATAATTATCATGTTCTAATTGAAGAGTTGGCTTAACTTTTACTAGAGTAGTATGTTGTTCGATTAATGATTGATCCAAGGTTTTTACAACTTCAGTGTTTGGTTTCGCGCCAAAAGCTACGAATTGTACGTCAGACTCAATTTGTGTACCCTATAGAAAAAATAAGAAAATGAGTCTGATGAATAATATTATATATATATGTGGAAATATATACAAATAATTTACCTTATCAGTTCCCAAAGTTAAGGGAGATAAACCGTCACCAATACCAGAGGAAGGGAGAATAACCTTTTCTCCAAAGATAAGCTTTACATTTAATTCTCTCAATTGTTTAGCAAGAAGATCAGTCATTTTTTTTGGAAATTTATCCGTAAGCAAATGATCTTCTGAGTGAGTAAGTGTAACCTCTTTGTCATGGTAAACTGATGCAATTTCTCCTGCAAGTTCTATTTAATATAAATAATAAATGATAAAAAAAGTTATAAAAGATAATGACAATATAATATGTTTGAAAATTTGACTTATTTATAACAATATATTATAACATACCGATGCCCACCGGACCTCCACCAATAATCAAAATCTTCTTCGCATTTTTTACAGTTTCTCTTTGAGCGATTATTTCAGCAATGCTCTCTTCTTTATTATTCGCTGACATCTTTGCGGGCTTAGAATGATTAGATCCAGTAGCAATTATCAAATATTTAAATGGTATACGATTTCCCCATTCAGTTTCAGTATCAACAATAACCTCATTTTTATGAATTGTAGTAACTGTAGCATGTACAACTTTCCCTCCATATTTAAAAAGATTATCATATGGAATCATAACTTTCTGCTCAAATCCATCTTCAACAATTGTCCGAAGACCTCCAATTGCATGATAGAAATGTGTTTTGCGTTCAATAAGAATGATTTGATGAGTTTTATAAAGGGCCAGTTCAAGTTTTGTGGCCACAGCTATTCCACCATATCCTCCACCAACAATTACAATATTTGGTTTTGTTGTCATTTTTTTTTAATGTTAAAAAATTCTATAAAGGAAAATATATAAATTGTGTATTTTTTACGTATATATTAAAACACTTGTGAATTCTTAAGGAGAAAAAAGGGCTTACGGGTTACTTATATATAGAATAGTGTGTCTACGTATCGACCATCAGAACTACGTAAATCACAGGGATGAACAATTTCGACAATTACGTAAATACTTCGTAATTTAGCTCGGAGGTAATGTTCTAGAAGCATTGCAGCATTGTTATAAATAAAAGATCGGTTTATGGGCCGATTATCCGCGGGTAAAAGTTCTGCCGAATGATTTGAGTGTCAGAATGCATCGGAACCCTAATCGGATGGGCCAGAATTGATGATAAT